AGATAGATAGATAGATAGATAGATAGATAGATAGATAGATAGATAGATAGATAGATAGATAGATAGATAGATAGATAGATAGATAGATAGATAGATAGATAGATAGATAAATGGATGGATGGTTGGATAGATAGATAGATAGATAGAGAGAGAGAGAGAGAGAGAGAGAGAATAGATACCGATATAGATAGAGAGATAGAGAGATAGGTAGAGATATAATAGATACAGATACAGATATAGATATATAGATATAGATAAAAAAATCCCTCAATTTAAATCCCGGATCCCAAGACAGCCAAGCTTGGGCTATTAGGAAGACAGCAGGGGAATCACTTGTGTGTCTCATGCGCAGCATGTTCACCACTGTATTAAGGAATAGCTGAAAAAGCACCCACCTGGGTGTTTGCGATTAGCAATAGCAAAAGCACTTAGATTTATATATCATCCCATAGCACTTTACAGCCCTCTCTGGGCAGTTTACAATGTCAGCATTATTTGCATATTGCCCCCCAACAATACGGGTCCTCAGAAGAATGGAACGCTGATTCAACCTTTAGCCCGTCAGGGTGGAACTCCAGACTGTGGGCAGCCTGCAGTAGTGCATTTTAACCACTGCCCCATCAGGGCTCATTGGCGCCCTCTGCCCAGGTGGGTGAGGGGCTATACAGAGGAGCTAAATAATAATAATAAGAATAAAACAATCCCTACTGCTAAACTTTGCAGCCAGGGAGTCATAGGATAGCAACTGGCTTTCTGAAAATTCTAATTTTAGCGCTCAAATTATCTCCAAAGGGAATGCACGTCCAGGCAGGATACGGGGGGCTGGCTTTGAACTAGACAGGCCACGCAAGGGAATTTTATTGCATGAAATATTTCAGTGCAGCAGGATCTGGTTTTTGTTTTGTTTTGGTGAAGCAGCAAATGAGCCTCTCCCTCTGTTGGTCCACAGGAAAAGTGCCACCAGTACTGGCCAGCCGAGAGGTCTGCACGGTATCAGTACTTCGTGGTGGACCCCATGGCTGAATATAACATGCCTCAATACATCCTCCGAGAATTCAAGGTCACTGATGCCAGGGTAAGTCAAGGACAAATTCCCACCCCGTGCCAGCTTTCCAGGATCAGGTGATGCTCAAACATTGGGGAAGGAATTGATCCAGAATACGGATCATTGGAAGCGGATCGGGTTGGGCCCTAGATCAGGCTGAGTTGTGGAACTATGTTGTGTCCACCGATGTTGTGGATCAACTGGGCTGTGGAGCTACAGGATAAGATAAGATAGATAATATAAGATAACCTTTATTGACACACATCAAAAATGAAATTTAGTTGCTCTCAAAGTGAAACACATACATGACACACACCTAAAACATACTATATGCAACATATGTATAGACCCACACCCCTACATATATATAACAAATAAATGTTAAATACTGTCCATCTTGAATATATAACGGAAGAAGGTAAGATTCCCTGGGGAAAAAGATCTCGTGGGGATTTTTATATTGGCATCCTCCATGCGGCCCCCACAAGCCAGATAATGTGACAGCCTCAACTCTTTTTATTTTATTTTATTTTTAGAAAATTTTACTGGTTTTCTAGTTTTACATTTAAATATTTGAAAAGCAACGTGGCGGCTGAGTTGGTCAGTAATTCAATAACATACAAATATCTCTAGTACAAATCTCAAACTAGTACATTAAATGTTTCTTCTCTTTTCCCCTTGGTGTTTACTCTCTCATATTTAAATTAGTACGATTCTAATTATGTCAATGAAATAAAAAATAACTTTCTTACATTTATCAATCATTTTTAGTTTATACGTATCCGAGTTGTTTTAACATTCAATCTTTTTAGACAATCCATGTCCTGGTTAATTTCCCCCCAATTTTTAATTTCCCATTAATATTTATATTTGACGTTTGATATTTATGATTTCCAAGTTTTAAATAACCCCAATTCCCCTTATCACAATTCATCACAAGATCTAATGTTCAGGATACACATCTTATCTATTTGAATTCTCACCATTCTTACATCAACCAATTA